GGACATGGGTATGTATCAATGCATTGGACATATCAAATCTCCAAACAGAATGATACACGGACACGGCTAAATATTTATTTCATTAATTATTTAATTTTATTTTCTAGAATAAAGAAATGTTTTAATCTAATATAATATTCAATATAGGCATTTAAGTCATTTTAAAGTAATAATATAATATAATTGAATGATTGGATATGTTTTTTTAGTATATGTCCAACTTAAAGTGTCAGACACATATCCTACACCCTTGTCCGAATGATATGTGTCCGATACGGGTACTTCATTACTTTTAAAGAGTCCATGTAATAGAGGTCACATGTTAAGTGTCTTTATAAATGGTAGCAGAGTGAAACTAGTCATTAAGGTAGTGTTAGGAATAATTAACTCCCTCTAACCTACTCAATGGTCGACTGTTTGTTAAAAGTTAAATCTCTTATTCATCACACACAGTGAAATCATCATTACATCACATCAACATAAACATATATGGAGATAACAATCATACACATTCACATACACCATAATATTTTACATAGTTCACCCAACTTTAGAGTTATGTCTATGGAGAGAGAGATTTTTATTATTATGGATCAAGGAAGAGAATACATAACCAAATGTCAAAACCCCACTCATTCACTCATTATCTCTTGAGGCTACACCTATACACTCGAGAATTATATATACTCTCATCTCTCCTTCCAACACCCACCTATACACTCGAGAATTATATATACTCTCATCTCTCCTTCCAACACTCGCCTTTACATCTTCCCCCCCCCCCCCCAAACCTCTCACACACATATATATTTTTAGAGTCTTAAAACCCATTTCCTTATTGGACAAGTATTCCTCAACTTGCTTACAAGAAGTTACCATATCAATCTTCAACTCTAAAATATAAGTCTTCTGGCTTACACATCCAACTGGTTCAACTTTTCTCAAACTAGTTCAATTAGGATTGCATGTATAACTGGTTCATGAACAGGTTAACTGATTCCATCATAATCACTTATGTCAGAATATTACTCACACACCGAATTCGAGCCTCACAAAACCCAACAATCTTCACCTTGGCTTGAATTTGGTCTTCACATACTCCTCCATAGCTCCACCTCAAACAATGATCTCTTCATAACTCCACCTCAATTAAAAATCTCTTCATATCAAATAAAGCACTACGATGAAATTGAGAAACACTCTAATAGGTGGTTTGATCGAAATGATCCGAGTTCATAATGTTAAAGGAATCTAGTTTAGGTTAAACTTTGTTCAAGTATGAGAATCCATCTCTTAACTTAGTGGTTGAATCTTGCATATTTACCTTAATAAGTTAGGATTAAGGTCACTTCATTTTATAATTCATTTCAAATTTTAAAAATTAAAAAAAATTAAAAAATAAATAAAAAAATAAAAAAATAAAAATTGTCTTTTTCTGATGGGCCAACCTATTCACTAATTAAAAGTGCCTTGATTCTCTAATGCAAAGTTTATAATGCCGAACTAGTCACGCCCATAACATACAAAATCATATTTACTTGTATATAAAAATATATATATATTTAAAATAGAAAGAAAATGATCTTACAAAAGTTGTGCAGAATTAAAATAAAAATTCAAAATAAATAGAATTTTGCGTTGTTTTTCTAAGAATTTAAGTTTGATTCCAAGAGTTGATTGATTTTTCATTCCAACGTAGTGCAATTATGTTACCACTTACCATCCTTGCAAATAAAAAATAAAAAACTTCATTAGAATTTCCACATTGTCTCAACAAGGACAAAAAAGCATGGCCCTTGAAAAGTTTTCTAAAATTCACCTGCCCTAGCGTTATTAACATGGCATTAATATTTAATAACACCAAGAATGGCTTTATTCACGTGGCATTAAATATGTTACCACTTACCATCCTTGCAAATAAAAAATAAAAAACTTCATTAGAATTTCCACATCGCCTCAACAAGGACAAAAAAGCATGGCCCTTGAAAAGTTTTCTAAAATTCACCTGCCCTAGCGTTATTAACATGGCATTAATATTTAATAACACCAAGAATGGCTTTATTCACGTGGCATTAATATTTAATAACACCAAGAATGGCTTTATTCACGTGCCATTGAAAAGACTTGTGACGCAGACCACCAATGAGATCAACCCTAATGAAAAAATGATTGATCAATGTAAGTGCTCAATTCACAAAGTGACTGATTGGATGATATTCTAATTTTGTTCTACTAATATTTTCTCCATTTTAATTACCGAAAAAAAAATATTTTCTCCATTTCACGTAAAAGAAAAAAAATGTTAACCTTTTTATTTTTAATTGTCTCAAAATAAATGTTTCAATTAAAAAGTCAATATATATTTTTTATAACATTTTTCTTTTCTAATTGTTATTATTATTTATTTTTTTTATAACATTACCTATTTAACTTTCTTGCATTGAATTTATAAAAAAGTAAATCATTACATTATTGTGGACCCATTATAAATAAATTACTAATTCATTCAATGTCAATACAATTAAAAAAATAATAAAAGTCATCACTTCAAAAAATTAGATTTTTGAAAGTGATAATTTTTATTGTTGTGAGATGAGGGAGTAGTTTTTATCTTATGACAATAATTACGTGGAGGTGGAAATATTTGTGGTCCATCATGTAGTGCATAAAATTCACCAAAAAATTAGGTAGGTTTTGGTGAGAGTGGCATTTGTTACATGCATCAACATTGTTTAAGGGTCGTGTGTGAGAAATACATATATAATATACATATAGAGTGTATAACTTCTTATACGTTTTGAAAAAATTTTAACTTTTAATTTTTGAACAAATAAGAATGTGAATGTTGAAAAGATCAAAGTGTCTCTTTACAATTGAAAAAAAAAAAAAAAAAAGGGTAAAAAAATAATTTAATGTAAAAGGACTATAGTGTCCCTCTTTTTTTTTTTCTTTTTTTTCAATCCTACTCATATATAAGGGCATTATTGGAAGAGAATTATATTTTCGGAATTTTATATCTTAAAAGCAATGCAAACAATCAAATTTGTAACCAAATAGTGACCTCAAGTCTTCTTTTGATCATTTTTTAAAATATAACACACTTCTATATATATATATATATATATATATATATATATATATAAATCAAGGGATGATATTTGTTCAAAATTTAAACATTAAGAATATTTTTCCCACTATGCCATTGTTTCAAATTGTAGTATTTTCAATTTCATTAAAATGGCTTTGACATTATAAATGAAAGGTACCTCTAACAACACACCCTTCCTGTGCCTTTGAAAGACTTTGTTAAGTAGACCAGGTCTAAGATCTGTAATGCAAGTGAAATTCTAAGCCAAATGGAAAACTGACTTGTCAGTATAAGTTCTCAATTCACAAAATCAGACAGATTGGATGATATTTTATTTTTGTTCCACTTATAATTTTATTTTTATTTTTATTTTAGGACAATAGTTATGTGGAGCTGGAAATGTTTGTGGCCCATCATTTGTCTGTTTTGTGTTGTGCACAGAATTAACCAAAAATTAATGGGTTTAGGTGCGAGTGGCCTTTCAATTCGTGAAATGTCTTTGGCAGCATTAATGAAAGGTACCGCTTAACAATAACTTCACTTCCCCTAATGCAAAAACTACTAAAAAAATGTTAAATATTGTCGCCATTTTGGTGGTCTTTATTTGTTGGATTCGATGAATTATGCTGTGAAAATCACATGAACAAGCTATCCGCGGCGTTTTTTTTGTCGACCTATTGATTCATTCCACCCACTTCACATTTTAAGTGATAATATCTAATTAGGGGTGGTAAATGGGCGAGTTTGGTAGGATTTGAGTTGGGTTAAAATTAAACGTGTCAAACGTGGGTTAAGACCCATATACTCAATCCATTTAAAACGGGTTAAAAATGAGCGGGTAAAAAATGTGTAGGGTCAATCTGTTATGACCGAAAACCTCATTAAAAATTTTGATGTTTACAAACATGGAAAAGAAAAATGTAATTTGCATATTTAAAAAAAAAAAAATGACCTGTGAAACCCGCTCGACCCACCCAAAGTATTGATGTTTAAAAAATAAATTTTTAAATTTTTTTTTGATGTTTACAAATATGGAAAAGGAAAATGTAATTTGTATATTTGTAAAAAAAAAAAAAAAAAATGACATGTGAAACTCGACCGATCCGCTCAAAATATTGATGTTTAAAAAATAAAATTTTCTTAAAAATTTTGATGTTTACAAACATGGAAAATGAAAATGTAATTTGAATATTTAAAAAAAAAAAAAAATTGACCCGTGAAACCCAACCGACCTGTTCAAAATTTTGATATTTAAAAAATAAAATTTTCTTAAAAAATTTGATGTTACAAACAAGGAAAAGGAAAACGTAATTTGTATATTTGTAATAAAAAAATTAAAAAAATAAATAAATTGATCCGTGAAACTCGATCGACCCGCCCGAAATATTGATGTTTAAAAATAAAATTTTCTTTAAAATTTTGATATTTACAAATATGGAAAAGGAAAATGTAATTTACATATTTGAAAAAAAAATAAAAAAATTTACTCGTGAAACCCGACAGGCGTGCCCAAAATTTTGATGTTTAAAAGGAAAATATAATTTATATATTTTTTAAAAAAATTTACACGTGAAACCAGCACGACCCGCCCAAAATATGGGCTGGGACTGTGTGATGTTTCCAATTTTCCGCATATTTCATTTTTCTGGAATTTTGTCGCCGCAAGGGGATTTTCGTCTTTTCATGTCTTGAGTGCGGGATTTTGGTTGGGTCCATTTGCATTTAGTGCATTTTATTTTAAGTGTTTATGTATCATTTGTATGACGGTGTATTACATTACATGTATTCATGTGGTGTAAATTAAAGCAAAAAGAAAAAAGAGAAAATAAAATGGAAGTGACAGGACCCACCACCAACCATTTTGTGGTATAGAGACCACTCTTGCTTCCTCATTTTCTCTCTCCCTGTTAATTTTTCCTTCTCCCTCATTTCTCTCCTCATTTTCTTCTTATCTTGTATCAAACTTTGAGCAAAGATTACTCCTTCAATACTTGAAATTTTTGCGTGTCGTTTGAGGCAAAACGGAGAGCACAGCAATTTCTATGGGTGAGTACCAACAATTTCAGCTTTGGGTCTCCCTTTGATTTTTGAAATTTGAACCCATTTTGAGGGTTTTCGCATTCTAAGAGGTAGGGGTTCTTAATTCATGATGTTTTTGCTCTTTTGTGAAGTATACCTCCTAAATTATTGTAAAGCATGCTTATTTTTGAATTAATTGTTTTAAAGATGATGTAAGTATTATATGTGAAGTTATGATTAAATGTGTTACTTGAATTGTATGAGAACATGTTTATTTGATTAATTTCTTTGTCTAATAGTTGATCTACCATGCTTATATTATTGTAGAACTTGCTAGAAATGATATGTGATGGCATGCGTAATTTCCCTAAAGTACTTGTAGTGTATGCACAATTGTATAGTGTGAAAGCCTTCATTTCCATGGCATTAAGAACATGAAATACATGCATACCATGGGACATAATTGGGAAGATTGTTTTGAAATGAAAACGGGGATTTCGGGGAAGTGTTTTTGATGAACTTGTTTTATGAAAACCCGGTCGCCGCGGGGGTACCAAAGGGCCGGAGTGTTAATATAGCCTAGAGGGAACTAGGGAGATTGCCCTAGCGTGGTTGAGCTAGCTGGGCCCCATAATGACGCCGCGGAGTACCAAGGGTCAGGGACACTAGCCAATTCTTCTCTCATGTCGTTGCGGGGTCACCAAAGGGCGGATTATATTAACAGTTTGAAAGTGATGGTTTGAATGTTGAAAATGGGGAGTGACATTAGCATGCATAGCATTCCATTGCATTACAGTGTTTATGTAGAGATTAATGGTTGTGTTGTATTATCCCGACATGGTATGATCCCGATCCCCATTGCTCTATTCTTTGTATAGATTCACGGGGACACAAAAGACGTGTCTTAAGTGCCACCTACTGAGCTTTTGCTCATCCCACTATACTTAACATTTTTTAGGTCATGGCAAAGAGTTGACGGATGACAATCCACCACAAAATTGACGGAGTATTGGAAGCCATTCATTTTGCTATTTTGTACTTAAGCTATTCTTTTGTATGTTTATTGTTTTGGAAATGTAACTAAGTTAGCAATCATGGCCCTTGTAACTTAAATGATGAATTTTATTCCTTATTTGGTGTAAATGAAACTAATGTAATCATTGTGTATATCTCCATGTAATTGTAGCAAGTGATGTTGTAATATGATTATATGAAGGCGCATTAGTTCATGATCATTGAATGTTTTATAATTGATGGTTTAGTTCACGTTTGAATCATTCTAAAGTCCCCATTTTAGTTTTCCTTTCATTCCCAAAGTGCAGCACATCAGTTCCAGCTTCAGGGCTCGAAGAAGCCACTTCGATCGACCGAATGGTGCATCGGTCGACCGAACCCATTATTGGCTCTCAGGATCTCTTGTTTCGGTTGACCGAAATAGGGTTCGGTCGATCGAACCATCCTCTTGCTCTCAGGATCTCACCTTTTGGTCGACCGATGGAGGGTTTCGGTCAACTGGTTTTGGAGGGTCTGCTTCGGCCGACCGAAGCTCCACTTCGATCGACCGAAGTGCACCTATTTTGGTTGTTTTGCTCTTCCTCACTTGTTTCTCCACTCTCTCGACCCTTGGAGAATTGTTTTGAGCCAACGTGAAAGCTTAGTTATGATCCTTTATATGTCGTCACACCTCTAGAAATGATGGGTTTGATGTAGGTAATCTCGGGTTCGGGTAAGGACCCAGCTAACGGTTCGGACTTTCGGGTTCGGGTTGTTACAGACTGGGCTGGATTGGGCCAGCCCAACTTATAGCCCTTCGTGAGAGAGAGAAATGAGTTGAGTGTAATATAGAATAGATGTGTGTTAAGTGTAAATTATGTGATGGGTGAAATATGTGTTGAATATGGGTAACCATATTCAACCCACCTTGACCTCAAATTAAGTGATTAAAAATTATCAACTCATTTTTGACCCATCTTAAATATGATTCACCCATAATCATTAAAAAACGGGCGAATATAAGTGGGTTGATGATTTCTGACCCATTTTGCCATCCTTATGTCTAACTCAACTTTAATGGCCATTGAAGCTGCCAAGAAGGCTCCATTATCCATTCCATTGATTAGCCTTTCATTTTTATGATTACAACAATTTGTGGTGACATACGACTATTGCATCAATCATGGTCTATTGTCGTGGGACTCATCAAAACTGATGACGTGCCACAACAAAGTGTTATTTATGGTCCCCTCCAACAAATAGCAATGCTCTTGCATAAATTGCAAAAAAATGAAACAAGATGAAAGCAAATTTACCGAGTCAACATCCATGCAATGGATCATCAATCAAAAGAGTTAACATTGACCTAAGGAGGGCTTCTTATTGGAATTAGTTTGGTATTCATGGAAGGTGGGCAAATGAAGAAGAATATCTTAGAATAGTCAGTGGAATTTACAAATTTGTGTACAAGCCCCAATATACCTTTTTTTTCAGCTATAATTGGACCTCCAAAAAATTTGGAGGGGGGGGGAACAAAAATCCTCTCTAACCAACGCCAGAGCTATTCCGACCAAATGAGTGTGTTTGTGTTTGTGTGCGTCAGTGTTGTTTTAGAGGGGGGAGGGGGTGGGGCAGAGGAGGCGATGGAGGGGGAAGAGGAGGGAGAGGATAGCAGCTATTCAAAACCCTAATTTAGGGTAAGACCAAGACCAGGGCCGTCGAATTGGTGGACGAATTTCCATACGGATCTGATGGCGGGAGCTGTGATGGGGGTGTGGTACACACGATTGTGGCCCTAATCGAGAGGGCAAAGCTTCTGTTGCAAACCCAAGAGAGCAATATAGCGATTGTGTCTGGCCCACACAGGAGATTCAAGGGAATGTTTGATTGTATCGTTAGAACTCTCAAAGAAGAAGGCATTCTCTCTATGGAGAAGCAACTGTTGTAGTGTTATTTGTTACTACCCCTCTGTTGCTCTCAATTTCTCACTCAAGGTATTATTGCTTTCATTGTATGTATCTTTACATATATGTTTATATATGCCGTCATATGTACGTGTTTATTTGGTTCAAGAAAATGTTCTTTTTTTTTTTCCCTTCAAATATCTGTGTTTTGATATGTGTACTTTATTTGATTCGTGGGTTAGAAGTTGGATTGAAGTTTGTGGATGACATGAATAACTCTTTTAATATGGGGAATTTTATACCATGAATTTGGGTTTGATTTTGATTGAGTGGATAACACTGAGACATGTGGAGTAAAATGTGGATTATAGAAGTATTAGAGGTGCCTATAGAAGTGTTAGAGGTGCCTATAGAAGTATTAAGGGTTTCTTGTTTGTTAGGACTTGTGTTTTGAAAACAAGGAGGCCAACCGTATATGATGTGTGCAGTTACCAATTTGGAGATCAAATTTATGATACTTCACTCGGATAATGACTGGATTTTTTTTTTTTTCAATTGAGAACCCTTATTGTAGTTACTGCAACCCTTAAAACAGTGCTACATTTGGTTCCATAAGTAGATGTATGACCATTTTTAGCATGCGACTTTGAGAAACAAATGTTTGTTTCACTTTTCTGGCACAAAATCTTATCTCATTTCTTAGTACTTTAAAACAAAGCTTTTTCCCCATCATTTTGATTTGGCTACAGGAATATTGTGTGGCTATTCTACTGGATCTAGGCTATACTTTCTTGCGGAACACTTTTGAATTCAATTGAAAACTATCCTAATTCTTATTCATATATGTGGGTCTAGTTGTCAGCTACTAATGCATCATCCTTTTTCTTGAGACATAAAATGCAATGTAAAGTTCTTATTTGCAATTAAATTTGGAAATTTTGTCCACTCAAGATGACACAAATGATTTTTATTTATTTATTTATTTTTACTTTTTTTAACAGGGGTTTGGGATTGATATCACAATCACCCTAGCGAAGGGTATTGGGTAAACCCAAGAGAAAGGTTTGATGCCTCTTGGAGTCGAACTCAAGACCTCTGAAGTGTGACCTAGAGACTCTTATTCATTCAACTACCCTTTGAGAGTCGTACAATGACAAGTTTTTAGAAAGAGAGTAATTTATAAAATTGTTAGTTAATTTTGTTAATAAATGATTCTGAATTTCTAAGTGGAACATAATGATGTTTGCCTTTAGTTGAAGAATTTATAGAGATAAGAAAGAGTAGCTATAAAATGTTTGACTAACTATAATATTCCACCCATATAGCAGAATTACATGAAGTGGTGCAGAAGTTAGTCCAATGCCAGCTTAAATAAATTTGCAAGGAAAAAGACAAACAAACTAATGTATTTGTTAAACTCAAAATCAAGCTTTTATAGCTTTCTTTTTAAGAGAGACCATCCTTAAGAAGGAAATGTTATCCAGTCTACTTAATAAGTAATCAAATAGCAATACATGCACTACGTCCTTCTGAACCCCCTTGTACTTTGTTAAGAAAAAAGTTAAAACCAGCATATTAGATCACACGAGTTTGCCAATAAAGGTCCTCATATATTTCAGTTGCATATGTGATTTATACTCTGGTTTCTTCTTAAAAACTTCTCTACCATTACCCATTTACCTTCCTTCCTTTGACGTCAAAGGTTGAATAAATTAGCATATATGACCATCAACTTCCATGATAAGGAAAAGTAAGATTTTTGTAGTCCCACCAGTAGTTCTTAAAGGCAGATGCTTGCATCTATAGATACTTCTGAAGAGGAACCTTTTTACTATCCGTACCTTGTGATTGACATACTAGCATGAGTAGCTCACATTGTTTTAGGAACTCTGGAGTGTGTTTGATTATTCTATAGTAGTTGATACAATTTTGTGAATGAGTTGTTATTTCTAAAGCCTGAGGAGTTGGACAGCTAAGAGAACTTGACGCTCAGTATCCATGGCTATGAACCACGGAGATACCGATTGTAGTTTTAAGTACATGTATATTTTTCTTAATTACCTGCTTGAATTTTAAATTAGAATCCTTGGTGTGTGTTAGAGATTGGGGATGCAGATATAGAGTAAAACGAGTCACTTTTATCATTGCTTAATGATTACCAGGTTTTTAGAAAAGCATGATAAGAAAGATATATTACCATTAGCCAAAACAGAAATAGTAGTTGCAATAGCTAACAATTGATTTATTATTTGTATTGGTATGCAACATATCTTTGTTAGGTAAATAGGACTTGGGTTGGCAATTTTTGTGCAAAATGAAGCCTGGGTGTTATATTTTAGCTTTTGGTTATGATTTCAAAAGTTAATTAAGGTAGTTAGTCAAGTTACCATTATCCAAGGGTTTAGTAGTGAATATGAAGCTTCAATAAAGGTGCAAATGTTAATTAAACTTTCAAATTTATGCACTCACCAAATTAGAGTTCCCATATATGCCATGATGGGATAAGGACCAGAACCCTTGGCTCTGATATATGCAGAGTTGCACAAGTTCAGTGATCTAAATCTAGAGATGGGGTCAATAGGTCTTGCTTGTAACTTTACTTAACTAAATTACCAAAATTTCAAGTTCAAATTGAAACTAATTAATGAAATTTAATCAGTCCATTACGTGAAACAATCATATCATTTATATAGTAGTAATAAAGCACTAACAAGCATGATGTCTGACACCAAGATTTTCATATATCATCTGATCGCCTAACTGAAGTAGTTAGGAGTGACGGTTCTTTTCAATAATTTTTTTTGCATACCAATACAAATAATAACTAGGTTTAGAGGAGTAACTAGGTTTGTCTCTCTATATATGTATGTGTTAGTTTTGATTTTTTGATCTTTCAATAATTTTTTTTTTTTTTGGATCATTCTGTAGTTTTTATTTATTTATTTATATTTTTTATGCAAATACATGTTCTAGGTTTTTGAAATTGCAAAAGGCCTAACAATCAAAGGGAAAATTACAGATATGGAAAGTCTGAATCACTACTCACAGGTTCTCTAAATTCTCATGTAAGTAGTAATATTTTCTATATTTCTTGCGATTGTTTTTCAGAGTGTGACTTCAGATATCTACAAATTCATAATAATTGTTGCATTGAATCAAAAGTGAACTTGCCTTTGTACGTGACCAAGCAATATTCTAAGTTAGAGTTGAAAGGTCTAAATAGAATTGTTCCCGAAATAAATCTAAACTTCTGAACAGAAAAAATTATCTATTAGAGAGGAGTTACAATGCCAATCTATTAGAGAGGAGTATTTAAATTTTTTTTATTTTTCTTTGACACTTATCCAATTTCAGGAAAATTTTACTTTTGACATCAGTTTGGTTGAATTTGTTTAGGTCATAAATTTGGGTTTATTCACCTTCATTAGTTTGTTTACTTGTTTAGGAGTGTCTGCCCTCCTTGGATTTTTGTCCATGCCTTATGTCTGTGGTACACTTCACCCATCACATGGAAAAAAAAATAATAAAACCACTCTTCTTAATTTTAAAGAGGGTTTGTTGTCTACTTTAGAGCACTTGGTCTTCACACTTATTTAAAATTCTGCACATATATTTATTTAATACAATTATACCATAATAAGTTCAGCATTATTTAATTTGTGTTCTCTAAACTATATGATACCCTTTAACTACATTAGATAATGAACAGGATCCTGTAGTTTAGGTAAGTTAGTTAAAGCAATATTAGTTACACTTCTTCTAGATATTGTAATCTAAATGATAATTTGACTAGTAAGCCAAATTAGTCCAATAGGGGTATAAATGTACGTCGCAAAGAACTTTTTAGGCTTCAAATGAAAGTTCAGAGACATTATTCTTAGCTAGCTAGCTCTCAGCACGTTACAATGACCTTACTTTCGCTTTTATTTAATGAATTTCTTTATTGATTTCCCTTATAATATGATTGATTTGCATTCTTAATGGGATAGAACCACCCAAAATTTGCTTGCTTGGATATGTAGATTTGCTTCATTCATATACTTTGAAGATACCAAAAATGGACTGGGCCGAGTACGACCCATATCACTTAAGACTGGATGAGGAAAGAACACTTAGCCCGGTCAGATGGCCACCCATCAAGCCCAACATGGAAAAGAGCGGGTGACCGAGAGGAGCCCAAAGATCAGTCCAACATGGAAGATTAAAAAGGAAGCCTCTAAGAACAATTGTAAAAGCCTATAAATAGAATGAAAAGAGAGGAAAAAGTGGTTGAGATATTTTGAAGTGTAAAGACTTATCTTTCCAAATTGAAAGAGTTTGTTCATTGCATCTTCATACTCATTTGAAGTCTTAATTTCTGGGTTGTTTTGTGTTTTAGTCCTTTTAGCCCTTTTTTCCTTGATGTGATCAGTTTAGCCTTTACTATTTTTCTGGTACAAGTCTTTTTCTCCTTAATTTGTAATTCAATTCTCAATTCTAAGACTTATATGTCAATTGCAGGATGAAATGATGGATAAGTATTCCTAGATTTCTCAAAATTCTAGTAGTACCAGTCTAGTGAGAAATAATTTTGAGATAGTACAAAACCAACTAGGTATCAGCAAAGGATATCCCCGTGGGTTCGGACATGGTTTCATGATTCCAAGCCATCAACGTGCATCCTCATCTTATGAAGAGGCTTCTCGTAAAAGAGCATAAATTGCTGACAAAAATAATGTATAACTGAAAGAGGAAGTAAAAAGTTTGCGGGAATATATGGAAAGAAGGAGATGATTGATGTAAATGGTGTAATTATACGACCATTTTGGGAGTGGTCATTGGAGTTGTTTGACATGAGTGTTTGTGGGTTGCAAGTAATTTGATGATATGGTGTAAAAGTCTTGTCAATTACATTCCTAATGTTGTTAGTAGGGAAGAAGTACAGTTGATTGGTACGTAAGATTGCACAGGAAATTTAATTTGTACAAAATAATTATTGAATTACCCAGTTATAATTTTGTTTGACACAACATGATATTTGACATGGTTTTAATATTGGACTGACCATATAATAAGTTCGTATGATTTATTGTGTGAAATTTTGATGTCTTTACATTACATCATGATTGATGGGGTGTGACTGTTAAACCTATATAAGCAGATAAATATAATTAGAATTGTCATTCTTTTGTTAAATACGGCACTGCCAATTGTGAACTAAAAATAGGGTTGACATTGGTTATTTTTTGGGTTGATATGGTATGCTATGTGTAGTTTAAAGTTTGGTCGTATCATTTCAATAAATTCGTAAGTAACTTTTTGCAGGACCAAAGTAATAAAATCCAATTACACCGCAAGTTATTTGCTTTTGCAAATACATATGTATCAATCATCCCAATATATTTGTACAAAATTTCGTTCCAAAATTATAGAGAACATCCCAATAAATTTGTAAATACCACAGTAGTTGCATCCACACTACATCTACATAATTCACGTGTTGTCTAAAGTATTTCCAATTTTTAAAGGACCAAAGTAATAGAATCCAAATACACCTTTTAAGTTATAGGCTTATGTAAATACATATGTACAAATCATCCCAATATATATGTAATCGTTTCATTTTAAAGTTATTGGAAACATCCCAATAAATTTGTAAGTACCCGAGTACTTGTATTCACACATAATTTACGTTTTTTCTTTAGTTTTTTCAATTTTTGCAAGGCCAAAGTAATACAATCTAATTACACCATTTAAGTTATAGGCTTATGCAAATACATATGTACAAATAATCCCAATATTTATGTACATCGTTTCATTGCAAAGTTTGATCGTATCATCCCAACAAATTCGTAAGTCATTTTTGCACGCCAAAGTAATAGATTCCAAATATACCTTTAAGTTATTTACTTATGCAAATACATAAGTACCAATCATCCTAATATTTTTATACAAACTTTCATTCCAAAGTTATAGAGAACATCCCGATAAATTCGTAAGTACCTTTGCAAAAGCTTATAACTTAAAAGGTGTCTTTAGATTCTATTACTTTGGCCCTTCAAAAATTACTTACGCATTTATTAGGATGTTGCCTATAACTTTAGAAAGAAACAATATACATAATTATTAGGATGGTTTGTACATATGTATTTATATAAGCCTATGACTTAAAAGGTTTTTTTAGGATGATTCTATTACTTTAGCCTTTAAAAAATTGAAAATACTTTAGACAACACGTCAATTATGTTTGAAGTAGTGTGGATGCAAGTACTCTGGTACTTACAAATTTATTGGGATGTTTTCTATAACTTTAGAACGAACTACGTACATAAATATTGGGATGACTGGTACATATGTATTTGCAAAGGCAAATAACTTAAACGGTGTATTTGGATTCTATTACTTTGAGCCTTCAAAATTTACTTACGCATTTATTGGGATGTTCTATATTACTTTAGAACGAAACGATGTACATAACTATTGGGATAGTAAGCCTATAACTTAAAAGGTGTATTTGGATTCTATTACTTTGGCCCTTCAACATTTGGAAATACTTTAGATAGCATGTCAATTATGTTTGAAGTAGTGTGGATGCAAGTACTCTGGTACTTTCGAATTTATTGGTATGTTCTGTATAACTTTAGAATGAAACTATGTACATAAATATTGGGATAATTGATACATATGTAAACAGTTATGGCATATATTGAATGCCAAAAATGGACTTGGTCAATGAAGGAAGGAAACCACCCACTTCTAAAATATTTCCTACTTTATAGAAGTTGCTCCAAACATCATGCAAGCTATTACATAGAAGAAATGTTTGTAGGAAGATGTACGGAAAGGAGAATATATGACCAGGTTCATTTTGGGAGTGGTCATTGGAGTTGTTTGACATGAGTGTTTGTGGGTTGCAAGTAATTTGATGATATGGTGTAAAAGTCTTGTCAATTACCTTCTTAATTTTGTTGGTAGGGAAGAAGTTACATAAAAAGGTTGAAGACTCTCGGGGAACAAGAAGAGCTATTCCTGCACTCTCTAACTATTGGTTGGTACGTAAGGTTGCACAGGAAATTTACCTTGTACAAAATAATTATTGAATTATCCAATTATAATTTTGTTCGACATAACATGATATTTGACATAGTTTTAGTATTGGACCGACCATATAATAAATTCGCATAATTTATTGTGTGGAATTTTGATATCTTTACATTACATCATGATTGATAGGGTGTGACTGTTAGACCTATATAAGCAGATAAATATAATTAGAATTGTCATTCTTTTGTTAAATAAGGTGCTTCCAATTGTGAACCAAAAATAGGGTTGACGGTTATTTTTTGGGTTGATATGGTATGTTATGTGTGGTTTAAAGTTTGGCCGTATCATCCTAATAAATGTGTAAGTAATTTTTGAAGTTCAAAGTAATAGAATCCAAAGACACCTTTTAAGTTATTTGCATTTGCAAATACATATGTGCTAGTCATCCCAATATTTATGTACGTAGTTTCATTCTAAAGTTATAGAGAAGATCTCAATAAATTCGTAAGTACTATAGCAGTTGCATCCATACTACTTCATACATAATTCACGTGTTGTCTAAAGTATTTTCAATTTTTAAAGAACCAAAATAATACAATCCAAATACATTTTTTAAGTTATAGTCTTGTGCAAATACATATGTACAAATCATCCCAATATCTATGTAATCCTTTCATTCTAAAGTTATAGAAAACATCCTAATAAATTTGTAAGTACCAGAGTACTTGCATTCACACTATTTCACACATAATTCACATTTTTTCTTTAGTTTTTCCAATTTTTGCTAGTGAAAGTGATACAATACAATTACACCTTTTAAGTTATTGGCTTTTACAAATATATATGTACAAATCATCCCAATATTTATGTACATCGTTTTGTTCCAAAGTTTGGTCGTATCATCCCAATAAATTCGTAAGTAATTTTTGCAGGCCAAAGTAATAGAATCCAAATATACCTTTAAGTTATTTGCTTATGCAAATACATATGTACGAATCATCCCAATATTTTTAAACAAACTTTCGGTCCAAAGTTATAGAAAATATCCCGATAAATTCGTAAGTACCTTTGCAAAAGCTTATAACTTAAAAGGTGTCTTTGTATTCTATTATTTTGGCCCTTCAAAAATTACTTACGCATTTATTGGGATGTTGCATATAACTTTGGAACGAAACGATGTATATAATTATTGGGATAGTTTGTACACGTGTATTCGCATAAGTCTATAACTTAAAATGTTTTTTTAGGATGATTCTATTACTTTAGCCCTTAGAAAATTGGAAATGCTTTAGAAAACACGTCAAGTATGTCTAGAGTAGTATGGATGCAAGTACTCTAGTATTTACGAATTTATTGGGATATTCTCTATAACTTTAGAATGAAACTACGTACATAAATATTGAAGTACATAAGTATTTGTAAAGGCAAATAACTTTAAAGGTGTCTTTAGATTCTATTACTTTGCCTTTCAAAAATTACTTACGCATTTATTGAGATTTTACCTATAACTTTGGAACAAAACGATGTACATAATTATTGGGATGGTTTCTACATATGTTTTTGCATAAGTCCATAACTTAAAAAGTTTTTTAGGATGATTCTATTACTTTGGCCTTCAAAAATTGGTAATACTTTCGACAACATCTCAATTATGTCTAAAGTAGTGTGAATGCAAGTACTTTGCTACTTACGAATTTATTGGGATGTTCTCTATACCTTTAGAACGAAACTACATACATAAATATTGGGATGACGATACATATGTATTTGCATAAGCCTCTAAATTAAAAGGTGTATTTGGATTCTATTACTTTGCCCCTTCAAAATTTGGAAATACTTTAAACAACACATTAATTATGTCTGAAGTAGTGTGGATGCAAGTATTCTGGTACTTACGAATTTATTGAGATATTTTGTATAACTTTAGAACGAAACTATGTACATAAATATTGGGATGATTGGTACATATGTAAACAGTTAAGGCATATATTGAATGCCAAAAGTGAACCTGGTCAATGAAGAGAGGGTTTGAATCCACACTACTTCTAATTTAATTAAATTCTTATCTTTAGTGTTTCCAATTTTTAAGGGCATTTAGAAAGAAAAAAAAAAATTTGACGGGCAAAATAATATATTTCAAATATAATTTTTAACTCATAAGCTTATGCAAATATATTTGTACAAATTAACATCCCAATAAATGTAATTTGTGTCGATCAATGGTCATACAAGAAATCCTTTGAATAATTGTAACTGAATCACCATTTATTTCTCCTTGTAAAAAATCTTCTTTGATTTTTTATTTTATTTTATTTTGAACACATTTAATTATTCATCGTGGAAAATATGTATCCAATAATATATATAATATGTGTCAAATTATAGTTAACATAATCCTAACGATAACCTAAAATGAATCATCTTTTATTTCACGTCATGGAAGTATATACATCCCAAAATTAAATGTAATATGTGACAATCAAATATTGTACAATAAATCCCAACAAAATTGTAAAAAGAATCAACCCTTATTTCACTTGAACACTATTTAAAGTCTTCATAGATAAAACACATATCCCAAAAAAAATTACATTTGATTACATTTTAAGAAGACAAATTAAATCAATCTTAATAGAAAACATACATCCCAAATTAAAACTGAAGTGTGTAAAATTGTAATTATTTATTAAATTCCCAACATAAGCCAAGAATGAATAATCTTCACGTGAACACAGTAATATGATAGAATACATCCCAAGTTAAATGTAATGTGTTTCAAAATTATTTGTTCTCTGTATCATTACATAATTGTATAATAAAAGTTTCAATTATACATAAAAATAAATAAATAAATAAATAAATATACATGGCATATATGCTAATTTGTACACGGATAATTTTCTATTGTAACTCAACTCCATCTATACGCAGGAATGTCAACCATCTAGTGTCGTTGTAGACAATCCAATCTACCTGCAATCACAACAATTTAATTTACAGTTTAAATTTAAAAATTATAAATTTTTAGAACTCTTAATATAAGCTTAGAATCTTAGTTACCGTACCACCCTTTATAAACTTTGCATCATGATTCCTAAACTCAAAACAACGTTGGAGGTACATATGCCTATCTCCGATTAAATTTTTTGGCCCTCAAGTCCAAGTGTTTGCTCTATTACACCATAACATTCCCACGTCGTCATCCATTTAAAATCTAAAATGGTTAGCTATCAAGACTAATATCCATGAATATCACACACACACACACACACACACACACACACACACACACCAGACTGAGCATATAAATATCCTTTTGTTGGTAACTAACAACAAATGATATGTCTGAAACTAATGTGGTCCATGTTAATAGAAGGTTTTAAAAGGAATAGACATTGATTATAAAAATACCTTATATTAAACATTATTTGCACAAAAAAATACAAGATAAAAGAATATTGATTGGAGACGATTAAACATAGTATAGCAAAAAAAAATCATGATAATAAACTACACATAAGATAAAGGAAAGAGTAGCGCCGGTTAGCTAAAACTCAATATAGTACTGGAAATTCAAATACCAAAGTTTTTAATAAATCGAGATATAAATCAAAATATGGTATGAGAGACACGTAACAAAAATCATCATAGATGGAATCAATCAAACTCTAACATAATTAAATAAAAAAAATGATATGTAAATCTAAGAAATCAAACACATGCAAAAGAAATCAAAATATGAAATACAAATTAATGCATGCAATAGAAATCAAAGGTGGCTGGCATGAAAGCAACATGAAGTTAATATTACGTTCACCAATTAACCAAATTTTTTTTCTTCGTAAGAATGCGTACAAGAATGAACACATTAATTTTAGAATAAAAGAAAAAAAGTGAAAAAAGAATATAAATGGTAATTGATACAGAGTTAATATTACATTCAGCAATTAATCAATAAAAATTTGCATAAAAATGTAAACAAGAATGAACACTTTAATTTTAAAATTTTAAAAAAAAAAAGAGGAAGAAAACTATTTCTTTAGATTTTTTTTTTTTTTCTTTTTTGATAGACTTAGTTTTTTACAAAAGAACTACCTTAAAAATATATATATTAAATAAGGAAACTTGTTTATCTTGATAACATATATATATATATATACTCCAATTCTATATACATGCAGCCACTGATATAACATTTACCAAATAAATTAAAACAATGATAATAATAGTAATAATAATAATAATGTCACTATCAATCTTATTATGAATCAAATAATAAAACCTTAATTAAAAAAAATGACAAATTTGTTATCCAGTTTAAAATATAAAATTTTGGTGCATAAATTAGTCTCACTCAAAACCCTTAAAAAAGAAATGATTGAAGAATAAAAAATTTAAAATTTGTAATACATGCCCTTCACAAAGAAATCATGTTGAGAATTCATCCAAGGAAACTGATCGAGTTTTGTGTCTATTGAAGCATCTACTGCGACTTCAAACCCAAACTCAGCATCTCCGTCGAAAACGGAAGCATCAAATTCACATCCTTCTCACACCATCTCAGAGCCACCAAAATCACAGTAACCCTACTTTTCGTCAATACCAAATGATGCAATGCAATTGAATTTCTATCCTAGGCCTTCAATTCTCCGTAGAAACTATCAATCGGGGTGGAGCTCAAAATCACAAAATTCCAGATCGAAGAATCATCTCCTGTGTAGGTGCTGGTTGCCTTTGATGGCCGGCCACCATCTGAAGAGAAGAGAGAGAATTAGGGCGATGACCCTACTTTTCATCAATACCAAACGATGCAAAGCAATTGAATTTCTAGCCTAGGCGTTCAATTCTCCGCAGAAAGTATCAATCGGGTGGAGCTCAAAATCACAGAATTCCAGATCGAAGAAAGAATGACAGAGATGGAAGAAAAATCTGTGCAGGTGCTGGTTACCTTTGATAGCTGGCCACCATCTGAAGAGGAGAGAGAGAATTAGGGCGATGTTGGTGATTGATGGAGAAGAGCCATATGTAGGTAGTTCAAATTTAGCTTGATTTGACCCTTATGGAGTTTGTCAGATTAATTCACTGATCTTTGGAGTGGTTAGGTCATTGTATTGTATTAGTATAGCAGAAGTCAATTAAGATGAGCCTTTTACATTGTTGTTTAATTGGTTCTGTAAACTTCTATCAGCCCACAACTTTTTCTTTCATACATCCTAGCCTTCAACCAAACATCTATTAAAAATCTCTGCTAGTAAAGTATATCTGTTTTGGGTATAATTAATTCATAAACTTTTGAATTGATAAGTTTCAATTTTATAATATGTCAAAAACACAGATACAAAATAAAATAAAATACAGCTTGATTTTGAACATGAACTTCCGCTCAGAAAAAAGAAAGGTTGCCAAAAACAATTTACTGGCTTCTGTGAAAACTTTCTCAGAATTCATGTGTCTTCAATGCATTGTAGCAAAAATGGATCTATTTGTTGTTTCATCAACTTTCATGTTATGGTAAGAAGGTCTATGTATGTGTGTGTGTGTAAAAGCATGATTATAATTACTCAACAAAATGGTTGTAATAAAAAGTCCTACAGATGAGGCTTGAGATATTGCTTTAATAAAAGTCACTAGTTGAAAGCAGTTTCCTAATTCTTGACTTCAAAATTAGTTTTACTTGGCCAACTGCCTAAAAACTAGAACCCACACACTGTCTTATAATACATTACATGGTACCTTGTTAATCAATTCTCAAAGTTAGCATCCATAAGAATATATTAAAATTAGAAATTAATAAACTTTCAACAATTTCAAAACTGAGTCAGAAAAATAATATTTCAGACCAAACATATCATTTTTTGTTTCAAGTGAGACAAGAACAGACCATTTGGGCCCACCTAGTATTTTCCCACTGTCTTCTTGGTAAACAAACAACCTTGATGGAAGTTAATACATAAAATTGATCACTTTGTTGTCCAGTATGGCCCAACATTACCTTTCAAACACGGTGAAGTGCTAGGAGACAATCCTAGGTCCTTTCTAATCACAACAAACACCCAACAAATTAAAAACCTCCTTTATTTTCCTTTCTCTTGTTGGTATCAAAAAAATGATTCTGAGTTAATTCCCTAGATTGATTATCTTTTCAATGCCACATGAAACATTATAACAACTAAATAAATCAATCCCCAAATTCTTTTATTTTTTTTCACTCCATCAAAAAAGGTACAATAATATAATTTAAAAATAAAGATGACAATATACTTCGAGGTTTGATTAAAAACAGATATTATAGTGCTCATGAAGTCCATAATTTATTCTTGTTTTGTATTAGCTAAAACACACCAAATTAAAAACCAGTCAATCCGACACACCATCATCAGCTGAACATTGAATCAGCTGTTGTTATTCATTCTGTCTCTCAAATGGGTACTAGGATTTATAAAAACACACACACACACACACCCCTTTTAACTCTCTGTTCTCATTATTATAAAATCGCACAAATAGAAGCATTTGGATACTCTTCTGCACTTGGGAAAGAGTAGACCGGGTAAGGAATGGGCTTGAATTCAACTTTTTTAGGCTCCTCCTTCTTGCCGTCTTCTTTTTTAGGCTCCTCCTTCTTCTTGTCGGGTTCTCCGACAGAGAGTACATCTGTGTGCCATGATTTTCGCAACTTCTTGACCACTGCAACTGGATCAACGGTGCCAATTACTGTTAGTTTCATCTCGTTCATGTCCGTAGACATAGAAATGGACTGAATCCCTGGACAAATCATAGAATTAGAACAGCCCAATTGAACAAACAAATACACATATAATTTAAAATTGTGATAAACCACTTAATAGTACCTGCAAGGCTAGAAACTGCTTTCATGGCCTTTCGCTCAGCCTTCTCATCATTTTTGAAGCAGTTAGCCTTCTCATAAATTTTTCGAAAATTGAAGAAATTATCCTTCTCATTATATAACCACAATTTTAGTTCCACTTTCTGCAACAAACATTGTACTTAATCATTAGACTAGACAATTACTAACAAATGGAATAAAACACAGACTTTTTTCCTTTTATTAAAAAGTTAAAACATCAATAGTAATTTTGGGTAACATTGAAATTCAAAATCCATTAGGCTCACATAACAAAGCAGTGAAGGAAAAGTTTAGTTCAATTCTGATATCAATGAAGCAAAAAATATATATATATATATACTACTTAGTTTGGCAATCCCAAAGTGCATTCAAGAGAAATTTTATCAACCACCATGCTTATCAGCTCATCCCACGACACATATAATTTATATCTCCATTTGAAATATAAAATCATTCAAAAGAATGAATAAAAAATAGAAAGGAAAAATACAGAGCATAGCAAGAAGCTCCATAAAATGAGGTGACTTTTACTTCATTTTTATTTCCAGAATGACTACAAGAATGAAAAAAAAAAAAAAAAAACCGTGAAGAAATGGGCTTGAAGTTCATATAAGAAAAGGAAAAAATTTCAAAATATGATTGATTCAGAAAAGCCCTTTTATGAACCCAAAGCAAACGAATACAACTCGAAATTTGATTAAATTGACATTCTGAACGTAAATTAGAACAAACCAATCACAACCCATTATTATTTTAGTTTATTATGAATCATAAACACATCACGAATATATATATATATATAGGAAAACAGGGTAGAGCAGAGTTCAGGTTTTTGCTAAGAAACTGGGGGCTTTATTACCTTCATTTAATAGCGTTTAGAAGTCCGAGCTTCAAGAGACTTAACAAATCAAAAGCTAAATGTAATTTAGAAAAGATTATAGCGTGTCTATATGTAAGATATGTGAGCAAGAAGAAGAAGATGAAGGTGGTGGGAAATGCCTTGTTGAACCAGACGACTGGACTTTTAAAATAATGCAAGGCGACTCAACTTTAGAAGTTTTCCTTGAATAGGTCGAAGGGGTCATTTCATGGGGGGCAGTTGAGTCTTTTTGCTTTTACATAAGGACAACAATAACAACCCTCAAGTTGGATGAATATTAGAGACTTTGACGATGAAGTGTAGAATAATACAGTGAGTCTACTTGCTAATGGACACATGACCTTTTTCAACTTTATTTTATTTCTTTTAATTAGGGTGGCAAACATCACACGAACCATTTACTCAAAATTTTTATTTTTTTACCAACCAATTTACTTGTGGGGTTATTTTTTCCACTCTAACCCAAAGTTTTTGATCACGTAATTTCATCATAATTAAGGATATGCATGATGTTAGTATGTATCATTAATTAATAGTTTAAATTTTTGAGTCATGTTATGTTATATGAACTCAGGTATGGATATCGGACATAAATATATATCTATGTGTTGGACATGTCAAATCTTCAAACAGAAGGACACACGGATAAGACTAAATATTTATTTTATTAATTATTTAATTTTATCTTCTAAAGTAAAGTAATATTTTTATCAAATATAATGTTCAATATAAGTATTTAAGTTATTTTAAAGTAATAATATAATGTAATTAAATTATTTGATATATTTTTTAAGTACACGTCCAACAAAAAATATCGGACACATATTCCATACCCATGTCCGAAGAATATGTATCCAACACAGGTACTTCACTACTTTTAAAGAGTCCATGTAACAGAGGTCACATGTTAAGTGTCTTTATAAATGGTAGCAGAGTGAGACTAGTCCTTGATCCAATATCATGTTTAGCATCCACTTCGATGGTGGTTTGAGTTCATACTATGTCCTTTTCCATTATGGAACGAGCAGTCAAGGTAATATTGGGAATAATTAACTCCCTCTAACTCACTCAACGGTCGACTGTTTGTTAAGAGTTAAATCTCTACTTCATCACACACAGTGAAAATATCATCACATCACATTAACACAAACATATATGGAGATAACAATTATACACATTCACGTACACCACAATATTTTACATGATTCACCCAACTCTAGGGTTACGTATGTCCATGGAGAGAGATATTTTCACTACTATGGATCATGAAGAGAATACACATCTAGATGTCAAAACCCCACTCATTCACTCATTATCTCTTGAGGCTACATCTATACACTTGAGAATTATATATACTTTCATCTCTCCTCCCAACACTCACCCTTAAACCCCCTACATTTTTTCTTCCATCTCTCTCTCTAAACCTCTCACACAATATATATTTATAGAATCTTAAAACCCAATTTCTTGTTGGACAAGTATTTCCCAACTTGCCTACAAGAAGTTATCATATCAGTCTTCAACTCTAAAATATAAGTCTTCTGGCTTATACATCCAACTGGTTCAACTTTTCTTGAACTGGTTTAATTGGGGTTGCATGTATAACTGGTTCATGAATAGGTTAAACTGATTCCATCATAATCACTTCTGCCAGAATATTACTCGCACACTGAATTCGAGCCACAAAATTCAACAATCTCCACGTTGGCTGGAATTTGATCTTTCACGTATTCCTCCATAACTCCACCTCGAACAATAATCTCTTCATAATTCCACCTCAATTGAAAATCTCTCCATCTCGAATAAAACAGTGCGATGAAATTGAGAAACACTTTAACAAGTGGTTCGATCCCAATGATCCGAGTTCTGATAAAAGAGAATGTAAAAGGAATCTAGATTTAACTTAAAATTCGTTCTAGTCTGAGATTCCATCTCTTAACTTAGTGGTTGAATCTTGCATATTTACCTTAATAAGATAGGATTAAGGTCACTTCATTTTATAATTCATTTCAAAATTTAAAAATAAAAAAATTGTCTTTTCTGATGGGCCAAACCTATTCACTAATTAAAAGTACCTCGATCGAAGTCCGGTTTTCAATTCTCTAATGCAAAGTTTATAATGCCGAACTAGGCACGCCCATAACCTACAAAATCATATTTACTCGTATATAAAAAAAATTATATTTAAAATAGAAAGAAAACGATCTTACAAAGTCATGCAGAATTAAAATAAAAATTCAAAATAAATAGAATTTTGAATGCTTTAAATAGTTTTTTCTAAAAAATTAAGTTTTATTCTTAGAGTTGATTGATTATTCATTCCAACGTAATGTTTTTAACCTATAGTAATAAGGAATAGAAATTACTGTAATAAATATCTTGATTAATTTTCTATCTTGCTTATTGAATAAATTTTAAGTTTTCTGGATCATCTGGCGGTGCAATTATGTTACCGCTTGCCATCCTTGCAAAAAAAATAAAAACTTCATTAGAATTTCCACAACTGAGAGAGATGATCTCAACAAGGACAAAAAAACATTAAGAGTCATGGGTCCTTGAAATGTTTTCTAAAATTGACCAGCCCCTAGCGTGCCATTGAGAAGACTTGTTGCGTAGACCACGAGATCAACCCTAATGAAAAACTGACTTGTCCATTGATCAATATAAGTGCTCAATTCACAAAGTGAGACTGATTGGATGATATTCTAATTTTGTTCTACTAATATTTTCTTCATGTCACAAAAAATGTTAATTTTTTTATTTTTAATTGTCCCAAAATAAATGTTCTAATATATATATATATATTACCAATTTAACATTCTTCATTTGAATTTATAAAAAGTAAATCATCACATTATTGTGAACCCATCATGAATAAATTAGTAATTCATTCCCTACCAATACAATTAAAAATAATAATAAAAGTTATCACTTTAAAAAGTTAAATTTTCAAAAGGGATATATATATATATATATATTTTGTTGCCAGACAGAGGCAGTAGTTTTTATCTTATGACAATAATTATGTGGAGGTACAAATGTTTGTAGTCCATTGTGTAGGGCACAAAATTCACAAAAAAAATTAGGTAGGTTTTGTTGAGAGTGGCATTTGTTACATACATCAACATTGTTTAAGGTGTTGCGAGTGAAAAATACCCATATAATATGCATATAGAATGTATAACCCTTTAGACGTTTTGAAAATTTTCTAACATTCAATTTTTGAGCAAATAATGATTTTAATGTTGAAAAGATTAAAGTATCCATCTACAACGGAATAAGAAAGGATAAAAATAAAATTTAATGTGAAACGACTATAATGTCCCTCTTTTTTTTTTAATATATAAGGATATTAATGGAAGAGAAAATGATATTTTCGGAATTTTATATCTTAAAAATATCATGTGTAATGCATAAGATTAAATTTGTAACCAAATAGTGACCTCAAGTCCTTCTTTGATTATTTTTTCAAACTTAACGAACTTATATAAAAATAAATAAATAAAAATAAATAAAAAACACTCGTAGGAGTAATATTTGCAAAAAATTTAAATATTAGGATGTTTTTCTCATTTTGCCATTATTTTAAATGGGAGGATTTTCAATTTCATTAAAATGGCTTTTACATAATTAATGAAAGGCACCTCTAACAACAAACTCTTCACGTGCCTTTGAACTTGTTAAGTAGACCAGCACTAAGATCAAGTCGTTTATAATGCAAGTGAAATTCTAACCCGAATGAAAAAATGACTAGTCAATATAAGTTCTCAATTCACAAAATCAGACTGATTGGATGATATTTTATTTTTGTCCCACTTATAATTTTTTTATTATTTTAGGACAATAATTTGTGGCCCATCATTTGTCTGTTTGTGTTGTGCCACAGAATTAACCAAAAAGTAATAGGTTTGGGATTAATTTTTGTGGGAGTGGCATTTCAATTTCATGAAATGCCACTAACTTCACTTCCTCTACTGCAAAAACTACTGAAAAAATGTTAAATATTGTCGCAATTTTGCTCGTCTTCATCTATTGGATTATTTATTTGTTGGATTAGATGAATTATGTTGTGAAAATCACACGAACACGCTATCGACGCGTTAGATTTGTCTGTAATATGACCTATTGATTTCTTCCACCCACTTCACATTCCAAGTGATAATGTCCAACTCACAATTTTAATGGCCACTGAAGCTATCAAGAAGGCTCCATTCCATTGATTATCCTTTCATTTTTATGACCACATAAAAGGAAAATTATATTTACCGTGACACATGACTATTGCAACAATCAGAGTCTATTGTTGTGGAACTCATCAAAACTGATGATGTGTTACAATCCGCTTGTAAGTGTTATTTATGGTCGTCTCTAATAAATAACACTGCTCTTGCATAAGTTGCATAAAAAAATGAAACAAGATGAAAGCAAATTTAGTGAGTAAACATCAAGTTTTGATGCAATGGAACATCAATCACAGAGTTAACATTGACGTAAGGAGGTCTTCTTTGTGGAATTAGTTTGGTATTCATGGAAGGTGGGCATATGAAGAAGAATATATTAGAATAGTCGGTGGAATTTACTTGGACTAGTTGTGTGTGATAATGAAACACATGATGATACTAGGTTTAATGTGTAAGGGTGATATGGTAAATTTATATTCTCCGTTAGGCCAACAGCTAAGAAGAGAGGTCCTGCCTATTTTCCGCAAGCATTTCATTGCAATCAGTTCTTCCACTTTTTCTCGACTTTCCTTAAAAACAAGTCTCTTTTCTTACTTCCGACCTTTTTCTTTTTATTTTTTGCTCAAAATATCATCAAACTTGAAAAAGAAAATGAAAATTTATGCTTTAAATTCTCCTTGTTAAAGATGATTTTATGTGACGTGGAGGAAAAATATTAGGAATTAGGAAGAACAAATATGTAGAGAGAGTGCGTGACTTAGGTAAGGTGACAAATCTAGGCACAGACCTGCTTCTCAGAAGGGGGGGAGTCCAATGGCCTAAGCAAGTATTATGGACCACTAAGTGGTTGATTGAAAACAATGTCTGTTTATAGGGACCATAATTGGAGCTCATCTACTTTCAACTTTCAATTTTCAAAATAAAGGAGCTGACAATGTAGACCAAAGTCATACTATATTTACAAAGTTTGAGTTTGAAAACTCAAGTGAGACCATTGAGGCCATTAGCCCAGTTGGTATAACCTCTCTCATTCCTCAAACGGGAGTTGAGGGGTTCAAGTGACATTCAAATGTGTGTGTGAGTATTTATCCAAAATAAATAAAAATACTCTTCAGTGAAGCTTTGGAAAAGTTATAATTCAATTATTGGGGGAATATATTTCCCGAATCAAACTAAAAAATGGCAGACTGCAATACAAAGGAGGAATGCTAAAATGCATGTAATTTCAAAAATTATAGATAGCGGCCATAAGATACACTGCCATAATCTCTCTCCCCCACTCTTGTGGAGGGTAATCCTCCTTCAAAAGGCATTATTGAAGATGTACATGCAAGAAGGAAAAATCATGCGATGTTGGCAGTTTTAATATCTGCAGTTGTGAAGAACTAAGCTGCAGCTTCAACACGACTTTTGGACAATTTCTAGTGCCTCCTCAACTGAAGATGCCTTCTGAAGCTTCACTTTATCAACCGGAGGCTGGCTTCTTGCCAGTTTGGGAAGAAGTTGAAATTCCTTCAACAACATAGCCACACATCAGTTTGACATGCAACCGAAACGCAAGAAAATAAAATCATGCAGCAATTATAGTTACTTTCTAATAAAATGTTCGGAAGAAATTCAAATGAAAACAACATTAGTGATAAAAAGTACCTCAGGACTTCCGCTTTCAAGAAGAACTCCTTTTAGTTTACCTGCAGGGCACCAAGACTAGTCGGTTTCTTTTCAGTGAACAAGTATAAATGACGGGGGGATACAGAGATAGAGGCTTTTACAGATTATATTACCCGAGTCTATCCAGAAAGTAGCAACTTTAGGATCAAAATTCCCAATTTCAACAGTCTCCCCAACTGCTCAATGAAAGAAATACAATTATGTATGAACTACCACATGAGATAAAAGTGTATGAATACAATCAAACAATGTAATTTCTTGTGAAGAATAATATAAGTCACGAGATCCTTACCATTGTCACCGAAAAACTGCCACCATACTTTCCTTGGGCTCCCTTCATATTCAAAGACCCTTGAGTAAAAGTGAGGGAGATAATCGTATCTGGACATCATTCAGTAATACAAACATTAACAAGGATGTTCGGCAGGGGGAAGCAACATCAATGTGAAATTGAGATTTTAAGTTTTAAGAGAGAAGAATCCAGCATACGTGTGAGTTTGTGCACTCAATAATGCTTTAACGCAATGATAAGCAGATCGACGAGCATGATCAACATGTTCAACCCTTGCAATGCGGTCATACATCTGCTTAGAATGAACTACATGTAATTTCCATTTTTTAAGGGAAAAAAAAAAAAATGGAGGAATTACCACACAATGAGAAAAGCATACCTTTAAAGGGAAGGCCGCTACATCTCCAATGGCAAAAATTCCAGGTGAACTTGTTCTGAACTGACCATCAACCTAAAATTTAATAAAACAACAAACAGAACAGACATCCAACTGATGTTCAAATAGTTAAAAGAGAAAAGGAAAAACGGTTCCTTCAATCAATATAATCATAAAACAAATTACATTTATAAATATCCTTATAAACAGAGTGAGATTATAGATACTAAAGAGATAGTCAGATTTTGCTTTTATTTTCTTTGAAGAATACAAGAGCACATTTCAAAAAACTAAAGTTAACCAAGGCAATGCCACATTCTAATGTTTATGCATTATTTAGCAGGTAGACTGTCTACTAGATTAATTAAAAGAAAGAGGACTAGTATGCAGTTAATACAGTTGAACTCAGAAAATAAAGTAGAACAGTTGTGAACTTTGTAACAAGTCATGTATGACACAATAAGTAATGTAAACATATGAACACATACAACTCGTGACTCATAGTTGGAATCATGAGTTTTAAGGAAGATAAATGCCGTTTTGTTGTCATGCTAACCTGTATTCCACCAACAGCTTTATTTAAGCCCAACCTTTTATTAAAAGGACTGATTGCAGGTCGTGCTCCAATACCAATAATAATCTACACAGGAGAAAAGTAAAAAGAAATTGTTCCCTGTTTTGTTAAAAATACAATGCAAAAATGGAAAAGATGATCACTCACAAGCATAAGATAATATATTACCGTGTCTGCTTCTATCTTAGATCCATTTTCAAGTTTAACAGCTGCTACACGTCCATCAGAACCAGCTTCTAAGTTTTTTATGGAGATTCCCTGTTAATAATTAATCATAAGTAAGTGGTTTATACAGAGGTAATAATGTGCTGGTGGCTACTACCCAATCATATATTCTCTCAAAAGTTTCTCAGAGAGAGAGATTACTTTCAAGAACTTGACGCCATTCTCCTGGTAAAGTTCTTCATATTTCTGGGCAAGTGAAGGAGTAAACAGTCTTTGCAAAAAATGATTCTCTGGAAATATAATCTGTTTTTCCAAAAAGAAAAAAGCATCAAGTTGTAACGTATCACCTCCGAGAACCCAATCCTCAGAAAATGGTAGAATATGAAGGTTCCACACATCAAACAAATAATTCATCTAGCATTGCGCCATGTGAGTGCACCTCAAACTTTTCTTTTTTGTTCAGTATTTTTTTGTTTGTTTGTTTGTTTCTGTTCATTTTTATTTATTTATTTCACGGTTTTCACCCTTTTAGTGACTACCATTTTGCGTTGCTTGGTATTGTATACCAGACAAAACAAAGCCGGTTCCATCTAGCCAGTTGTGTAATGTTTTAAATTGAACATAAACATTTTTTGCATAATTATCTAAAATAATGTCAAAAAAAAGGACTAATCATCAGTACTTCAAAGCAACTGACCAAAAATTTTTAAAATAAAAAATAAAATATATCATTGTATACCAGACCAAACAAGAGATGTGGCTCTAGAGTCTAGATAACATGATGGTCTGTGTAAGGATAAACCAGACATGATGCAAATAGCATTAAGATTATGGAATCGTATTAATATCTTACATTGACTGAAGTCAGACTCAATATCACATGCCCATTAACACAAATGGGTGATTAATTGAGCATTATGAAAATGCAAGCAAGATGCTACAATTGGATAAGATCAATAACAATAAAAAATAATGTGAACCAAAGATTGAAGGGGAAACCAAAGTATGAGAGAAAAATAAATATGAAAAAAGAAAAATCACCATTGAAAATGGCAAATTTATAAAAATAGTGAATTTAAGTTTAATTTAATATTGGGATTAGCAATACATTTAAGCCCTGTTACATTCACGCCAAACAATGAACACAACAACATTGCCCACAAATTTGTCTAAAATACTTACGGCAAAGATTTCTAAATAACTTAGTTTTAGTAAAATTAGTTCAATGGACAATGTCCACCTCAATTTTAACATATAGTTAGACTGGAATGAAGTAAACACATACCGTTGTGTCAAGTTTCCAACCCACAGCTGCGGCAGCAATCTCCATGCCAATATAACCACCACCAACCACCACCACTTTCCGTGCTTTCTCCTAGAAAATGAAATATTAGTTTTTTGAAACACAATACACCACTCTAACATCTTTAGACAACCCATACTAAATATTTGCTTAATGAGCTACTGAGGATACCAAAGGCGGCATGGGCCGGATCTAACCCACATGATGAAGAATGGGCCAGGCAAATGACCTGGGCCCAAATCAAGCTGTTTGTGAGGCGAGCCCAATGCCGAAGAGTGAAGCTGAAGGCCTGAAAGGTGAACGGATCCATTGATACAAAAGCCTCGATGATAAGCCCAATGGAGGAGATTAGTGAAGGATCTTCTAGAACATTGTAAACAATCTATAAATAGGAGAAAAATGAAGGGAAAAAGGGGATCGAAATATTTGAGGTGTAATGAAACTTTATCAATTTAGAGAGAGAGAATTTCTTGCATCTTCAATGGCACCGTCTGTGGGAAACGATGAGAGTTCATTGATGATTCACTCAGATTGATTTGATCTAGTAGTGTAGCGCGTGAAGACGAAGCCTGGTCCTTGAAGGCGGAATCAAGATCGGTGAAATCGTGATCGGAGAAGTTCGCGTTCAATCTACGTAATTCTGATTTGTGCTCGTTTTGGAGAGCTGTGCGGTCGAAAGTTGTTGATATTGCTAAATTTGGCAAGTTCGTCGCCGGAGCAACTCAGATCTAGTTCATCACGATCAAAATTCAGCTGAGCTAGAATCCAGATCTGGAGCGTCAGCATTGGCAAAACTCAGATCTTATTAGAAATTTGCGGTTAATGACTTTGCTATGATCCGGAATGATGATCGGAGAAGAGAGTTCGAATCCAGTGGAGAATAACCAGCAGATGAAGCTTGATGAACATGATCGAGGCACTAAGAAAAGAAAATGCAGAGCTGAGAGGTGGAATGGAACGCCGAGAGGTTCCGGTTGCGCCGCGACCGCCTCCAGTGGATGAAAGAGGCGTGCGACCTAATGACGCACATCAAGGTGAGCAAGAAGGAGATAACCACGTCAATCTCCACTGCGAGGAGGTTAGGATGGAGAATTTACCGCCAAACGCTCGTCGAGCTGAGGATCGAGAAGGATCTGTACATCTTGATCCACATCGTGAGCATATCCGGCGGGACGAAAATACAGCTTTCAATCCGCAACAGGAAAGGCACAACCGCGAACAGGATATGGAGTTTGATTGTCACAAGATTAACTCGCCGTGGCAGAGAGAGTTCACTAAGGAAAGGTCGTTCGATCCACCTTATCGGCCTTCAATGGCCACATATGATTATAGGAGTTCGGAAAGAAGATCGACAGATCAAAGAGTTGTCACGAGGTTTGAAAGAGAGAATGAGGCCCTCCGTTTGGCAGCACGGACGGTTGATTCGCCATTTACTGACGAGATCCTGAATGCTCCAAGCCCGAGAAAGTTTTCCATGCCTGTTTTCATTTTGTTCGACGGAACGACCGATCTGATTGATCATGTATATCACATTCAGTTGAAGATGGCACTGAACACAGAGAATGATCCATTAATGTGCAAATGTTTTCCTACAAGTTTAGCTGGACCGACGCTCAACTAGTTTAAGAACCTACCGAAGGACTCAGTGGACAGCTTCCGTAGCTTGTGTGATCAGTTCATAAGCCAATACTATAGGAATAAGCGCCCGGCAAAAGATATCTCTAGCTTGTTCACCATGAAACAGCATGACAATGAACGTCTCCAATCTTTTCTTACCAAGTTTAACCTAACCAAGAGCATGGTAATAGAGTGTCATCCTTCCACAGCAGTTCAGGCGTTCAAGTTAGCTATGACCCGAGGGACACCGTTTCATACCAGTCTGGTGGTGAACACGCCGAAGACAATGGACGAGCTGAATGAGAGAGCTGATGGTTTCGTGCGCCTGGAAGAGGAAGAAGCAGTTAATGCTAGGAAGAGATCTATCATCTCCACGGAAGAGAAGTCCAAAGCGAAGATACGGCAAAAGCAAGTTCCTACGCAGCGTCAAACCTCCTGGAAGGCAAAGAAGAGACCTAGGGAGGATGACTTGGTTACTCCATTCAAAGTTACACTGGCAAGATTATTTCAAGAAAACAAAGATAAGTTTCATCCTCCCTTGCCCATTAGACAACCTCTTGAATAGAGGGATCAATCTAAACATTGTGCTTTTCATAGTGACTTTGGTCATCAGACTAATGAATGCAGGAACCTGAGGAGGCAAGTGGAGATGCTGATCGCTCAGGGAGAGTTTGCAGGATATATTCAGGGGCCAGCACAGGAGCAGAATCGACCAGCTGAGCAGGTCAAGAGAAACCAAAAGCCGAACCACCATAAAGCTCAGCTTGTTCGGATTATAAATGCAATTCATGGCCGACCTGGACAGACCGAAGAATCCGAGGAAGTATTTCGAACACATCTTCGCCAGGCACAAATGAAGAGACGAATAGGCAGTGTCAACACTTTGCACCAACAAAGCTCAACAACGCCAATAAGGTTTGATAAGACAGATCTGATGCGAGTTCAGATTCCTCATGAGGACCCCTTGGTTGTCAGCTTGACAGTGGCAGAGTGTTTAGTACGAAGAGTGCTAATTGATCCAGGGAGTAGTGTAAATATCATGCCAATGGTCACTTTTGATTGCCTAGAAATCAATCCAAAGGAGTTGAAGTCCACTGGAAACCCACTGTTGGGGTTTAATGGCAAACGGGTAGAACCGATCAGCACAGTGGAATTGATGGTCCGTGCAGCTGAAAGGAACCTTGTCAAAAGTTTCGTGGTGGTGGAAATCCATCCCTCTTACAATCTGCTGATAGGGAGGGGGTGGATCCATAGGGTACAAGGAGTCCCATCGACCCCTACATCAGGTGATGAGATGCATAAGTCCAGACGGGAGCAAGGTGATAGATATCCATGGAAATCAGGTCGCAGCAAAGAAGTGTTACTTGGTAACTCTGAAAGCTGCAGGGAAGGGAAAAGCCCCTACCCGATCTGCTAATGAGCAATAGCAGTTACAGAAGCCTCCCCTCAGCAAGAACGGAGAGGAAGAGCTTCCGATGCTGACCAAGGAACCACTAGTTGAAGTTCAAATTGATCAATTAAGCCCAGATCGAACCACGAAGGTAGGTTTAGGGCTTGCCGAAGAAGAAAAACGTCAATTGGTTGATTTCCTCTCCCAGAACGCCAACGTATTTGCCTGGAGTCATCTCGACATGCCAGGGATCGACCCATCAGTCTCTTGCCATTCTCTTAATGTAGATCCGAACGTCAAGCCAATAAGGCAGAAGCAGAGAAGGTTCGCCCCGGAGCGTAACCAGATCATTGCAGACGAGGTTAGTCAATTGCTGGAGGTTGGGTTCATTAAAGAAGTACAGTACCCGGACTGGTTGTCGAATGTGGTTGTAGTACAAAAGAAGAATAAAAAATGGAGAGTTTGCATTGATTTCACTAATCTAAACAAAGCCTGCCCAAAGGATAGTTTTCCACTTCCAAAGATTGATCAATTGGTGGATGCAACAACCGGGTATGAGCGACTGACCTTTCTAGATGCATATTCAGGCTACAGTCAAATCCCAATGGACCCAAGCGATGAGGAAAAGACCTCTTCTGTCACCGAACGAGGGATCTATTGCTACAAGGTTATGCCGTTCAGACTGAAGAATGCCGGAGTCACGAACCAGAGGTTGGTTAGCAAGATTTTTAAGGATTAGATGGGCAGGACAGTAGAGGCTTACATCGACGACATGGTGGTCAAAAGCAAGCAGAAGGACCATCACTTACAACATTTACAGGAGGTGTTCGGCGTACTAAGAAAGTATAGAATGAGGCTGAATCCAACTAAATGCTCGTTCGGCGTAGGATCCGGGCAATTCCTTGGCCACGTGGTCAACAACTGAGGAATTGAGGTTAGTCCAGCCCAAGCGGAAGCTTTGCTAAAAAATGCTGAACCAAGTACTATCAAAGAGGTCCAAGCACTCACCGGACGCATAGCGGCATTGAGTTGGTTCATTTCTAAGTTATCCGACCGATGCAAACCATTCTTTGATACAATCAGGGGTCATGGAAAACAGTCCTGGGGGGATGAGCAAAGGCAAGCGCTGAACAAGCTGAAAGAATATATGCGGAACCCACCAGTCTTGAACGCCCCAGCGCCAGGCGAAAAGCTTTTTTTGTACCTTAGAGTTTCTAACATTGCGACTAGTGGTGTGCTAATACGTGTGCCGAGGGTAAGCAATTCCCGGTTTTCTATGTGAGCAAAACGTTGACCGAGCCAGAGAGAAGGTACTCAAAGGCCGAACGAGTGATCTTGTCCTTGGTAAACGCAAAAAGGAAGCTCAGGCATTACTTCGAGTCTCATCCTATAGTCGTCCTGACCACATTTCCTATAAGGGTGATCCTGCATAAGCCCAATTTGTCCGAACGAATGACGAAGTGGGAGATAGAGCTTAGTTCTTTCGACATAACTTATGAGCCTCGAACGGCTGTTAAAGGGCAAGCTATGGCTGATTTCTTACTGGAATGTGATGTGGATGAGCCAGATGAATGCCTTGAAGAATCTTCATAGAAGCTCTTCGTTGATGGCTCCTCAAATCAGATGGGGGCAGGAATCGGGATCAAGTTACAAACACCAGAAGGCACTACGCTGAACCAAGCGATAAGGTTTGAGTTCAGAGCAACCAACAATGAAGCAAAGTATGAAACGCTGTTGGCTAGCTTAAGGTTGGCCAAGGAACTAAAGGTCAAAAGTTTAGTTGCCTTCAGTGATTTGCAGTTAATAATTCAGCAAGTGACTGGAGAGTATGGAACAAAGGATGAGACAATGGAGGCATACCGTTCTGCCGTTATGCAAGAAATTAGAAACTTCAATCAGGTCAGGTTCATTCAATTGCCGAGGGAGCATAACGAAGATGCCGATCGATTGGCCTGTAGTGCGTCAAGTTCAGGTGAAACATTGGCAAGGGTAGTTCCAGTCAAGGTGCTATGCCAACCATCTATCTTTGAAGAACCGTCAAGTTCGGATCCCTGGCAGGTGAATG